GGACAGTGAAGATGAGAGCGTGATGCGAGTTTTTCCGGAAGTACGAATCGATACTAATCACTTGGTTACTGCAGCTCCAGGATTTGCAGAAGTTTTTGAGGAAAGTGAGCTCGACCAGAAGTGAGTTGAGAAGACAGAGAGGAGAAGGAACTCTCTGTATTTCTGAATTTTCAATTTAAAGGGCCAGTGAAGAGGAACTGACCATCGTTATGCCGGAAGTACGAACCAAAACTATTGAATTGGCTACTGTATCTTCAAGCTTCGAGGAAGTCTCTCAAGAAATTAAGCTAGAAAAGAGGTTATCTTAATTATCTATATCTCTGAATTTCCATTTTAAAGGGCTAGTGAAGTCGGGAGTCGTACCCTGATTTTACCCGAAGTACGTGCCGATACTATTGACCTGGCCACGTTGGTTCCAAGATTTGAAGAAGTGCTTAAGGAAACTCAGTTCGACAAAAGGTGGTTCCTAACTTTCTGTATCTCTAATTTGTTATTTTAAAGGGACAGTGAAGCGGACGGTCGGACAATAGTTTTGCCGGGAATACGAATCGATACTATTGTTATGACGATTGCAGCTCCAGAATTCGAAGATGTTGCCCAAGAGGCTGAGCTAGAAAAGAGGTTGCGCAACTAACAACACTTTTAAATCCGCAGTTTAAAGGGACAGTGAAACCGAGAGTCGCTCGCTCTATTTGCCGGAAGTACGAATCGATACTATTGACTTGACTACGGTAGCTCCAGGATTTGTGTAGGATCCTGTCAATAGACGTCGTTAAGGAAAATGAGTCAGTATCTATCTGCCTTTTCTACTTTTTAAAGGGACGAGCCAATTGGAGGGAAAGAATTGTGGCTTCCGGAAGTACGAATCGATACTATCGAGCTGGCTACGGTAGCTCCAGGATTTGACGAAAACTTTCTCAAGAAGTTCGGCTCGAATAAATGCAACTTAACTCTGTATATCTCACAAATCCAAATTTTAAAGGCACAGTGAAGCTGGAAAGCGTGATACTAGTTTTCCCGGATAACACGACTAGGTATTAAAGACCCACTGGCTACTGTAGTTCCAAGCCTTGAAGAGCTATCAATTGATATAGTAGTGGAGAACGAGTTAGGATCTGTTCTGCGTTTGCTACTTTTAAAGGGACGAGCGAAATTCGGGAGGGAAAGAATTCTGGCTTCCGGATGTACGAATCGATACTATTGACTTGGATACGGTAGCACCAGGCTCTGAAGAGGCTTTCAAGATAGTTGAGCTTCTGAAAGGGTTATCCGACCTCCGATTACGATATAAAATTTTCGTTTAAAGGAACAATGAAGTCGAAAAATATTCCGTAATTTGGCCTGAAGTTCGCATCACTACTATCGACTTTACCACAACACCACCAAGATTTGCAAATATCTCTCTGCTGGCCGATTATGCCAACGGGTTTGTGCGCATTAGATTCAAATTCGAGACACGATTTTAAAGGTACATTGAAGCGGGTGAGGCAAACGTAGAAATACCGATAATACGGATCGATATTATCGACATGACGACGATAGCTCCGAGGTTATCGCCGCTGGAAGTGTCAGTAGTAGTGGAAACGGAAAAGGGGTAGGAAGGCTTAGGCTTCGCTTAAGTTTAGGCTTAGGCTTCGGCTACCAACTTAATAAGCTCTATACCAATTTCAGTCAAAACTGGCTCGCCACCCCATATACGATACGCTCGTACGCCCAATTCGGCAGAGCCGAGCCTGATGAACCCAGTTTTGAAGAAATCAACGAACAATTTGAAGTTTTCCAAGCCCAAGAGAGGTTTTTAAAAACTTATTTGCATATGTGGATTAAGCGAGCCGCTCCAAATCCTTGAGATCATCCCCGGAAAGTGGTTGGACAGGATCCGGACTACCTTACTTGAACCTGAACTCCTTGAACTTGAGCTAGACGTTGCGATTGAGAAAATGGGGTAACGGACCCGATTGAGAATTTTTTAAGCATCTATTTAAATTTTTCCACCTTTAAATAGAATTTTTAGTGATTTAAACAAAGCGGAAATGGTGAAAAGTTGGCCGGAAATCGCTATTATCTCTGAATCTTTGAAAGCTCTTGCTCCAAGGCTTGAGCCTGAAGAAATTACGATAGCTGTCGAGACGGAGAAAAGGTTTTATTGAGCATAAATTATACTTAAGATTTTCTAATTGTTAAGCGAAAATTGGCTAGCCATCCCGTATTTATTGAGCAACACCGAGCCGGTTCGAGCTTGGATTTTTGCTCCACAATATGCAAAAATATCGATTGATGCGATTTTCGAGACTGGACAGGGGTAAAAAATGTAAAAAACTTTTTTACCAAATAGAAGCCATGATTCCATCATCGCTACGCTACATTACCCTGAACGTCTAGCGGTCGCGCCAGAATTAGAACAACTACTCCCCTCACTCGAGCAAACCATCGCCATGCTCCAGGCCCTGTCCGGAAACCAAAGGTGGGTCTCCAAGCTACGTACGACACCTCCGTACGTTTCCGTACGTTGCCCCTCCCTTTTTCAGCAGCCGCCATGTTGAAGCCGTCCAGCCGATCAACGAAAACTCAGCCATCTCGGCCCGCTTTCCCAGCTTCAGCCGCCAGCTTGTCGGCGCTCATTTTCGGCTTTCCGCCTCGGAGGAGGGGCGCGCCGTGCTGTGCGCCTGGCGCGGACGCGGGCGCACTGTCGTGCTGGCGCGCCGCGTGGGGCAGCGCGTGCGTGCGGTGTTGAGGGGCGCCCTGCCGGTTCGGGGCGGTGAAGCTTAAGCGCCAGGCTTGGGCTGAGAATCGAGCTTTGCTCAGGTTAAGCTTGGACTACGCTAAAGCTTGCAAGAGCTTTGAGCTTGCAAACTGGCTTAAAAGAATCAAAAAACTCTCCCTCTCTGTCGCTCTCTCTCTCTCTCTCTCTCTCTCTCTCTCTTAGCTTAGGTCTGCGGCTAAACTATCTTAAAAACGCGAAAATACTCAAAATGAGGTCGTAATAACTTTAAATATCCTTATCCCTCTCTCTCCCTCTCTCCCTCCCTCTCTCTCTCTCTCTCTCTCTCTCTCTCTCTCTCTCTCTAAATTACGCTCTTTGTGGCCCGTTTCCAGCCAAAAGTTGACGCACAACATGATGAATTCGCTTGCCTCGGCTTCTCCCTCCAATGAATCACCGCCAGAAAACTCCTTCTTCCGCTTCTATATGTGCTTCTATTCCACCCCGCAAAATCTTGTCACACCACTGCCCTCTTCGAGTAAATCGTGCTACCACTACGGTACCCCTATCACACCAGGATCTACAGTGCAACAGCTTCCACAAACAAACAGTCCTCGTCTTTACCCTATCAATTGCTTTTCCCGTTTATCCTTATATTCCTTGTCGATTTTCGATAAAAATTTATTAACTTAATTACCCAATAATTCCAGCGCGATGACCGCCTCGCCGCTGCCGGGCAGCCAGCAGCAGCAGCAGAGCAGCCAGTCATCCTACCAGTGGCGCACCGAGACCACCCGCTCCAGCGCGCAGCCCACCGGGGGTCGGTTTTACAAGAATTTGGCTTTTTATCGATTTGAAATATACGTTTTAGGTCGTAATGACTTAAGTCAGAATCGAACCTAAGTCTAGAATACTAAATAATAAAACTAGTAGATTTTAAAAACGTTAAAAAATATCCTTATCCTAAAAAATAACTGACTTAAGAAATTTAGTTTGTATCTATATTAAATCTAAGTTTTGGAGCGTAGTGAATGAAACCAGAATTGTTCTAGTCAGTTCTTAATTCTAGAATACAAAAAAAACCAGGTGAAACCCTTTAAAAAGTCGAAATTTGTTTAAAAACGCTACGAAACTTCACCTTAAAATATTTTAACTTGCGCAAAACATTGCTAACGTCCTTTTTAAACATCATTTTCTTTAAAATAAAAAACTGTTATCAAAATACCAAAAAGTTATAAATCCACTAAAAAAAGCGCTGGTTCAGAATACTAGCTAGCAAGTGTGTCGGATGTCTTTTAATCCCTAAATTTTCGCAAAGAATCTTCGTTATTTCAGAATATAATTAGAACCACGACTAAACTATGACAAACTAGTACATCTAAAAAACAGTCACTTTCCAGAAACGTGGCGCACCGAGACCGTTCGCACCAACAACGAGCCGCCGCAGCAATGTAAGCCATTTTTATTGAGTTAACATAGCTAAATTCATCTCAATCCTCTATTTTTAAAATCCAAAAACCAACTTCAGACACGACTTCGTGGCGTACGGACGGTCACGGCACCCCGGCCACCACCGGGCAGACGTCGTGGCGCACCGAGAAGCGCACCACCACCACCACCGAACGCGAGACGATCCCCATTCAGCGTAAGGAGTTTTGATTAGGTTTTTTATGCTCAATTGAGCCCTAAAATCTTGTAAATAAAAATCCACCGCTAAAATACGTTTAGAAACCTACACAACATCTCGCGACCAGTCCCGTGAGTGGCAGCGCGATTCGCAGCGCGTGCTCGAGACGCCGACGAATCGCCCGGGAAGTCGTGCCGGTTAGTTTCTTCCTAAAAAACCGAAAATCCCCCCACTTTCTAGATTCTGCCGCCTCGTTCCAGTATGCTCGTGGGGATAAAATCAACCCCGGAGATCGTAAGTTCTAAAAGTATAATGAAAACTAACGATTTTGATAAAAAATCGTTAATTTTGATCACAGTAAATCCTATTTAGAGCGCGTTTACCAGCTGACCCGCCCGGACTCGAGGGCCAGTGTGACAGCGTCGGATCGTAAGCGCTCCCAGGAAAATCAGGCTAAACAAATTCAGACGGCTCCGTGGTGAACGACACGCTGCACGCGCTGGTGTCTGACGTCGAGCAGACGACCGAGCTGATCCGCAGGAAGCAGCAGCAGATGCGCTCCGAGCGCCGCCAGTTCCAGACCGAGATGGAGGTGGGCATTTTAAGCCAAAAATCATCAAGCAAGGGTTGTAAACAATAAAAAAATATCCGTTCAGGTCACCGGTCGCATCTCAATTTCTCCCACCGACGATTGGCTGAACGCGCGGCTGAAGGCCGTTTCTACTGACGACCTCAAGCGTGACCTCAACAAGATCAAGGACGATCAACGTAAGTTCTTTTGGAAATCATTAGTTGAATAGAATTCAAAGAAATTAAATTAATGAAAATATTTTATGGAAAAACCGGCGGACAAATGAATCTAGTCTCATAACACTGAATTTGAGATATTGTTAGGGGGACAAGTGTATAGGAACCATCGAACTTGACCAAAACTGAACCGGGGAGATGGGGACGGGGCATAAGAGCGGGGTGAGCAGCTGGTGGCTCCGACTCGTGCATGTGTGCGTTAATAGTATAATGGGAACAACGGAATGTGGGGGTGGAAAGGAGAAGGAGGAGGTGGATTTGATGGCTGAAGAATCATCGCGACTGGCTGTTCCCACATCAGCAGGTCCTTGATGGCACGGTTGAGCAGCGTGATCCAGGTGGTCATCATCTCCTTGTGGTCGGCGGCCATCAGCACGCTAGAAAGCAAAACATGAAGCTGTTTTTTAAAGAGAAGCAAATTGGTGCTCTAGAAAATCGAAAAGATGAAATGCTAATCTTTTTCGATAACTTCGGTAGAAAATAAAGATTTGTAATTTTAAATCTTTGTCGAGAATCGTCCATCTTTGCTTTATTTCAAAACAAACTAAAAAGAAAAAATATGATTTACTATAGATCCTAAAAAACTTTTTCGCAAACTAATCTCGCCAAACACCACAAAAAAATACCGCAGTATCTCCATCTCGCGGCTCGTTCCCTCCTTGGGCACCCAGACATTGATGTGGAACGATGACGGGTAGGTGCCGTGCGGTTCCGGGACCGCGCCCTCGCCGCTGCACGTCGACAGGTCGATCACACAGCGGCAATTCTGAAACGCCGAACTACCTGGCCACCCCGAGATACGAACCTTTGAGTTCTCCTCCTCCGGGTTGCGCCAGAACTTCATCTCGCCGCCTTCGAGCACGCACCAATACCTAGGAGAAGATCATTACAAGGAAAAAAGAGATGCATACCTCGACCACGCGGCAAGCCCTTGCGACGTTTGGTGGAGCGAGAGGAAGCCACGGTGAACCACGTCACATTTGTCAATGGCGTATCTTAACGTGGATTTTGATGAGACGCGTGAGGAAACGGCTCACTTCTTGACACGCATCGTCAGGTCGCCTTGAACCGGATGGTTCACGTTTTCCAATCGGTACTTGCTGCGCTCGACGGTTTTGATGTTGATCTGCAGGCTACCAACTAAACAACGGGTCAATCGAAGCCTCTTGACGGACATACCTGACTCAAATCCGGCTTCAACGGTCCGAAGGCTTGCCGTTCTTGAGGCAGAGCGGCGCCCGGGAGATCGTGACTTGTTGTAGGAGGTGTGCAAGCCTTTGAACGTGCCGCCCTTGCTGCGATATTTCTCTTCGGGACCGCAGGCCTCTTTTCTCGAGCGCTAAAAGGATAATGCCTCAAATCTTCTGGACACGCATACCAGAGCGAACACCTCCACGGTGCACAGAAAGTCGGGGCGCAGGTTCTTGATGGTGAAGCAGTTCGGGAAGGCGACGATTCCATTCTAAATCCATATATCCAAAACCTCGGATAAAAAGATACCGAGTACATGGCGTCCTCCGATGAGACGACGTTCGTGTGCAGCACCGTCGCGCCGCACTTGATGATGACGATGAAATGGTAGACGAGATCGATGTCTGCAACAAGTTCAGAAGGCTCAAGCAAAATCGGTTACCATTTCCGTATGCGGTCAGGCCGTTGATAAATTCGCGTGATAGCGGGAAGGAGATGTTGGACAGGCTGATGCCGCCGCGAGGCCCATCAATGTGCGACGAGTTGTCGACACGATTCAGCTCGCACATCAGCGCCGATTTCTTCTCCTGGGCGGTGAGGAGGGCCCGCTGGGCGTCCACCTCTTCCGGGCTGCCCGCAAATTTCGGCATTTCACGGCAGCACTCGAGGGCTCGCTGGGCTTGGTGGATGTGTTCATCGGCGACATTGAGGTCGCGTTCCAAGCGATTCTAAAGATTGAAATTTGATTGTTACGCGGTAATGCGATAAAGCCATTTTTGCAGAAAACTTACGATCAAATCAGTACGCTCCTCGGTGATCGTCAAAAGTGGAAGCTGAGGTCGCGCTTGAGTTGCCGCCCCGGCAAAAACGATGCGCTCGACCTTGTCGTCGGCATTCGACTCTTGGTTCTTGCGGTAGAATGATATCGAGTGCGCCTAAAAAAACAGCAATGATCAAGAAGCGACAAAACCGACGAGATTTGTCTCAGGGTCAGCAGAAGTTGGCGGCGAGCGGCTCGTCGTCGAAGTGGCGGTCTTGACCGGGGATAACTAAAAAACCGTTCGTCAGAAAACCCCATCAAAAAACCTTAGAACTAGTAGAGGTGGTCGGCCCCTTGACCGGGCTCGGGAACGAGATTTGCGAGCTGCGCGGCGCCTTTCTTCGCCTTCATGTGATTGCTTATTAGTCTAGAACCGAACATCTTGAAAAATAATGGTTGCAATACCTCCTCAAGAGAACGCACACGTTCGGCCTCATCTCGATGCGAGCGGAAAGTGCTGTCAAAGTCGCACTCCTCAAACACCTCAGACTCCTTGACCGAGGTCTCAAGCACATCCTAAAATTAAGAACATACAAAATAGCAAAGCGAAAAATACCGGCTTGAAGGAGCGGTAGCGAAGATGCGGCGAAGTGACAGGTGGCGGCGATTTGAGACCGAGCGGTGAGCGAAGAGCATCAGACTTCCAGGACCTCGTTGAAGAGACAGTGCGTTCGGCCGAGCCCCCCGGCGCCAAAGTTAGGGTGGGGCAGACGAAGTACGTGTGGCAACTACAAAAAGAATCTTGGAAAAATGTCGAAGTATACCTTTGTCGCCGTGGTCTTGGTTGCGGGCAATGTTTTTTCGGAAGAAAGGGCGGCCAACTTGCGCAACTCTTCCTCGCTGGCATCCGGGTGAAGCGGAGTGCCCGTTGATGAGGCCAGCTAAAGAGAGAAGAATGAAAGACGAAAGAGCCGGGAGGATTTTCTTTCAATCCTGAATTGTCTAACAGAAATAGCCCGCGTTTCTAAACTCGTGTTTACTATTCCTAAACGTAAAAAACTCTACGAAAAAACACAAAAAAAAAGATCTTTCGACTAACACTTCAAAAATTGAAACTGTTTTAAAGTTTTCTAAAGAGTTTCCCGCGTTTAATTTGACTATATTTTACTAGAACGACTCTTAAAGTACTTGTCATGACGTTACTAGTAGAGGAAAAAATGGATTTCCCCGTCCGATAATTACTAAGGTAGCAAACAAGATGAAAGAAAATCAATATTTTGAGAAATTATACCTCCCAGCGGCTTCGCAAGTTCTGCAGATTCGCCGAATCTTTACGGGAAGGCTCTTCCGGCACAGGCGTCATCTTGCTGGCACCCGACCAAACGGTGCGAAACAGCTCCTTCGGCTTGACGGGCTCTGTGGTAGCTGTGATACTTGGCGGAAGCGGCGGCGTGCTCATGTCATCGCGAATCGGAGAGCTAGTGCTTAGCGGCTTCTAAAAACAAATGATAAATACGAACAAGAAGCTTACGAAGTCAGCGGCGCCATGTGAAGGAAAAGTGAACGAGTCGTGATGTTGCAAATTGAGCACGCGCTGGCCTTTTGAACACCATTGGGCTCCCGGTGATTATGGATTCGTTTGGGTTTTGGTGGTCGGGCGTCGAGTTGGGCAAGTATGGCTTCTAAAAGATATAAAATGGTGAAGAAAAATTTGGAATATACCTTCTGGGACAGGAAAGTTTGCATCCCGAAACGAGTGGACGAGGCTGTGGAAGTCGAGGTCGAGGTGGCGGTGTTGTTGTGTTCAATCGTGACCTAAAAGTTGGATAATAAGAAAAAAAAGTCAAATATACCGTATCAGTCGTCAACTTTTCTTCTTTTTTGACGCTCGAAATGACGTGCGGCACATTGCGGTTGAAGATGATGGCCGAGCCGGTGGTTGGATCCTCTAAAGAAAAAGAGGATAATCTGCGTAATTTCAGGCAACCTTTCTTCGGCGTGACATAGCTCTTTGGGGCGAAGAAGTCGACAGCTTTCGATGAACGATCGGTCAGAGCTGCCGCTGGTCTTTCGTGGGGCGGGCACCGGCGCCAAGGAATTATCATCACGGGATCGGTCGCTTTTCGGTGGCGTGAAGTGGAACTCGACTTGTTCTTCTTCCGCGCTCAGGGCTGCGAAGCGGGCGCGCTGAAAAAAAAAACATTATTTTAGGCAAGAAACAAATTCCTTACAATCGTAGCCCGATCGAGGCCGGCGGTGTCCGTCTCGCTGGTTTCGGAAACTAAAAGGAGAATGATTTAGGGCTAAATTGATTGAATTACCGGTAGGGCGGGGTGCAGAAGCGCCTTCGTTGATCTTTTCCAATTCTTTTTGGCGCGCCTCGGCGGCTGCAAGTATTTTTGTGGTTTTCTCGTCGAAGCTGAGCATCTGAAATTGGAAAATGAAGGGGAAAGAGGCGTGATTGATAATAAAAAAAATATTTCAAGACAAAAAAAAAGATTTTTTATAGGAAAAGAAAGATAAATATAAAAATTTTTGGGATCGTCAAAAATCGAAACGAAAAATTGCAAACACTACGAGGCACGCCCATGGCGACGATACGCGTAATGTCGTATTGTCTCGTAGTTTAGATTTTAATAAAAAAATTTTAAGTTTATTTTTTTCACATTATTTTATACGCTTTCAGGAACGAATGCCGTGACCGACACGCTTGCCGCGCTCGTCTACGATGTGAATGCGACGGCCGAGGTGCTGCGGCGTGGATCGCTGGGCCGGGATAAGGGCAAGAAGAAGGATCGTGGCAGCGAGGTACTGTTTTTATTCGTTTTGCAATACTAATTGAATAAAATTAATAAATTATTTCTTCAGGAGGTCGAATACCGTCTCCGTTTGACGCCGACGGTTGATGAGGAGCCGAGGCCTTTCCCGTCACCCAAGCAGTACGAGCAACGTGGGTTTCGGGGAAAAGCATACATCATCAAAAATTCATCATCCAAATTCATCTCAAACTGCAGAATAATCATAGTATTTGCAATAACTATTAGTTTGTGTAGAATAAATTAATCTCAACGCTAAATTTCAGTGCCGGAAGAGAAGACGACGGTCGAAGACATGCATCGCGATTTCGGCGTTGACATTTCGGAATCGCACACGTAAGCTAAAGTTGTTAATGTTATTTCGCATTTTCGGGGATACAAACTTTTTTATAGCGATCCTATTTGTATAATATAAATAAGGAAGTGTTTCGAAGTTGTTTTACTATTTCTAAACGGAAGAACTTTACAATTTTCATTGAAAATCCAAAAATATAGATTTTTTTGACCAAAATATCGACCAAAGACTTAGACCTAAGACTAGAAAGACCTAAGACTTTATTTGATTGTTTTTCAGCTTTAAATATAGCAAAATTGCTACTAGAATACTATACTTTTAGGTTACACGGCTTTATGAACTCATAGAAAAATAAATAGATTCTTCCCCACCCCGATAATGCCAAAGCACCATTTTTTATGCATCATTCACCGAAAATTTCAGCGCCAGTCTGAGACGCCGTGCTCGCAGCGAGACGCCGAGGCGCACCCTGCAAATTGAGGTAAGCTAAATTGATCTCGATTTTTTTTATAGAATCGTGGTAGTCTTTTGTTTTCTCTTTTAATATTTTCCTCCGCTTGTAAACGGCGCGTTCATAATTTGGCGCCCGAATTCACGCAGGTGCGCTAGAGCGGAAACGAGTTCATAGGGGCCGACAACACTCACAATAACCCAATGATTCAGCCCTCACCGCCGCCAACGGCGCCCGCGATTTGTGCCTATTGCGATGGGGAGATTGACGGTGGGTTTTTATGGTTATAATGACGTTATAATTAAATTTACGTATTATATACTATTGAAAAACATAAATACTACTGGAAACTATAGAAAAACGATAAACATTTCAGGCCAAATCCTGACGGCGCTCGCTCCAAACTCGGAGCGCGCCCAGAAGTTCCACACCTACCACTTTATGTGCACCTATTGCCAGAAGGTAAGGAATAATGAAAATAATAATAATAAATGTTGTAATGCGCGAATTCTCGGTTCTTGTCTGTTAGCGGGGGTGGAAAAACTAGCTGTCCTACGCCTCCTACCTTGAAATTTTGAGCGTTTTTGGTAATATACCAGGGTTGAAAAGCCGCTTCGCGACTTTTCAACCCTGGCCCCGTCTAAACCAATAATATTTTTCACTTTGCATTCTTGCATACGGTTCTCCATTCCTATGTGAATAATGAAAAATGTCACTCTCTAGCTCTTCATATAGGCTCCCGCCACTTCCGGTGTATGCAAATTGTTTCCTACCAAAGAGGGTTCCCCATTTTACAACAAATACATAATTTTAATGTCGAAAACTACTGATTTTGTAAAATCTGATATGCGCGCAGTCATCTCGTGGCCATTACGCACCTAATGACGTATCATACGTAGCCTAATACCCGTCCCTTCTTGAGATATCCTCCGGACAGCCTGACGGAAGTTGCATGCAAAGTGGCACACACACACAGACACTATTTTTTTATATATAGTAGGATTAGTAGTTTATCATTTTTCGAAGCTTTTAATATAGATATATTAGTAGTTTATCGTTGTTTTAGACACTTTAAATGTAGATATTAGTAACTTATCTTTGCTTTAGACACTTTTACGAATTTTTTCTTGATTTTGTGTGCTCAAAAAAACGGTGGAAAAGCCAAATAAATGGCATTTTGAATATCCTACTATATATAAAAAAATAGTGTCTGTGTGTGTGTGTCTGTGTGTGCCACTTTGCATCCACTTCCGGATGTCTGTCCGGAGGATATCTCGCTAGGGAATGAATTTTAAGGTATGTATGATACGTCATTAGATGCGTAATGGCCTGGAGATGACTGCACGCATATCAGGTTTAACAAAATCACCTATTTTCGACATTAAATTTAAGTTTTTGTGAAAACCTCTTTGTTAGGAATAATTAGCGTAGACCGGAAGTGGGGATTCGACTATATAAAGGGGCGAAACAGGTACTTTTTCATTTTTTGTTATCTGAATTCATGAAAATTATGCAAAGTGAAGGATAAAACGGGGTCAGACGGGGCCAGGGTTGAAAAGTCGCGAAGCGGCTTTTCAACCCTGGTTGAGTAACTAAATACAGGGTGTCCCAAAAAAAAAGCACCCCTCGGGCATTTCGCCGCCTTACATCCAATCGGTCCAATACTTTGCACAAGGGTGTATCAGACCATAAATAACCACAATCCTGAGTTATAGCCGGATCGCTACAGTAGTTTTCAAGTTATTGCCAAAATCCTATTTTTTTACGTGATTCTTAACAGTTTTTTCGGCTATCTTTTTGGACTTTGCATCGAGTTGCATCGACTTCCGGCTGCGAATCCCTAATCTCGCTTAATATTGGTGGTGACATTGGGTTACAAAAATTGTTGAAATCAACGGTTATTTGATGAATTTTTATCAGGAAAAAATTTCTAAGGGTAAAGAACGCTTGCCGCTTCATTTTCACTTAAGGTTCGAAGGGTCGATTCCGACGAAAACCTTATGAAAAATGGATAATAAAGTTTATTTTTGCTGTATCTCGAAAACTATTGTAGCTGGCGGGCTATAACTCAGGATTGTGGTTATTTAGGGTCCAATACACCTCTGGTCCAAATTTGGGACCGATCGGATGTAATATGACGAAATGCCGGAGGGGTGCTTTTTTATGGGACACCCTGTAGACCAAAATTAGCCCCCCCCCCCCCCCCCCCCGCTAACAGTCCAGAACCGGGGCACCCTGTACACTAAATTATACATTTTTTATTCTAAGAAATAGAAAATCGTCTCGATTCCAGGCGCTGAACATGCACGGCACGTACCGTGAGCACGACCGGAAGCCGTACTGCCACGACTGCTTCTATAAGCTCTACAACGGGCTTCAGTACTGCCCGATGAGCACCAGAAGACCATCGAGAAGCTCATCTAAAATTTTTTCGCGTTTTTTGTATACTCCCCGAAAATTTGCTCACCCTATTCCAGTTGACGCCGTGCAAAAAACCAAGAAAATTGCCTTTTTATGAAAAGCTGCCAAAATGTCGTTTTGATAAATGTATTTTTGAGGATCGTGGAGAAGTAGAGATTTGTTTTATTTTATCAAAAGTATGAATTTAACGGTACAGGGGCTGTACCACCAAACAACAACGTCTGTGTTGATCCCGAATCTCTCTGTGGAGCTTCTTCTTCGGCTCAGGGGAGGAGGAGCTATCGTTTTGCTTCTCGGCAACGTTATCGTCATCCGGTTTCTAGAATAGCGTTAGTTTTTTAGAAATACTCTTGTTCTGCTTATTTCTCAACTTTTCCAACTTACCGGAATTTCCGCTTTTCGCTCTTCCTCGACTGCAGGCACTAGTTTAGCTCTTTTAAACGTTGCCGCCTTTCCGCTTCGTAGTCTCTGAGGAAACGGTACTAGACTGTTAGCGGGGGGGGAGTCAATAACTTTGGGCTATTCCTAGAGGTAGAGAAACTTCTTAGAAACCCCAGAAAAATATTTTTCTTTTTTCTAAAAGATTTTCTAGAATTTTTAATTTTTGGGCAAAAATTTATGAAATTGGTTATAACCGCAAGTTTTTAAAGTTTCTAAAAATCTTTGATGACTTCTTAGTAACTGGAAGGCTGTAAACACTATGAAAATATTAGCAAGAATTCAAAACCTTGAAAAACTGTGTATTTAATACAATTTATGTCTAGGATACCCCCTCCCCCCCCCCGCTAACAGTTCAGAACCAAAAGCTTCCGTTTACAGTCGATTTTTAGCTTACCTCCAAAAATTCCTGGCAAATGAATACGGATCCAAAAACTCGAAGTTCGGCCTTGAACTCCGGGATCGCCGCCAGTTTCTCGTGATCCCCGATGTGAAGCTCGACAAGGCGCGCCGAGCGGAGCTGAACTTGCTGTTGTAAAAGTAGATGATCAACCCTACCGCCGCCGACGAGTTCAGAGCCACCGGAAGTGCCATCGGTTCGCTAGATGGTCGATGCTAGGAGAAATATCCGGAAATGTATCATTCATACCTTAATTTTCAGTCTCAAATGCTCTACAGGGCGATCCCCGAGCCAATTTACAAAAAGCGGGGCGGTGTTCGAAAATACGTCCAAATCCACGAGACATGCCTGCCGGAAAGAAAAAGCCATCTGCCACCATGCTTCGTCGGCTTTGCCCTGAAAAATGGGTACTGGGCTGTTAGCGGGGGGAAAGGCCAGACAAATTTTTTCTTTTAACATAAAGTGTTTCTAAACTGTTTTTTAGTATTCCTAAATTGTTTTTTACCATTGCTAAACGCAAAAACTTTACAATTTTTTAAATAAAAAAAAAATATAGTTTTCCGTCAAAAAATGGTCGGTTTTTGAACGAAATTTCGACTTTTTCAAAATTTCAGATGTTTGATCGTTTTTCTAGTGAAAATAGGGTTTTATTTTAGTAAAAACTAGATGAAAATACTTCCGATTGAGTCTGGCATTTTTTGGAATTTCGAGATTAATACAAAAAAATTTGTACCCCCGATAAGGTGAAAGAACCTAAAAAGTTCATAAAAATATCATAAAAATTTCGAAAAATTATGATTTTGGCAAAAAAATGCCGAAATTTTTCAATTTGCCAATGTTTTTATACATTTTCAGGAAACAAACGCTACGAAAAACTATATAAAAATCCGGTATGTCTCCCAAAAAGGTTTTTAATGCACCCACCTGGCTGTCAAAGACATGCGTCGAGTTCAAGGAAAGGTCTCTCTCAACAACCCTGATCGATGCTCGACGCAACGACTCGGAAAACAGCGCCATCCCGTGTGTTTTGGTGATCAACAGCCTGGAGCACGAGTTCATCTCCCACTAGAATTAACCACTCACGAAGACGCATTATTCCGCAACAACAACTCATTGCCGATCTTCGTTTTGCTGATCGAAATCTGGCCACCAGCAAATTCGACAATGATCTTGCTCTAAGGTCTATCGAATGGGAAATGGTGTTTTTAGGATACCGATGAGACTTGTAGACGCTCGATACGCTCTGGGAAGAGGCGTTTGTGGTATTGGAAATGGGAGAAAAACTGGAAAATTAGATTTATTGAATTCGTCAAGGTTACCTGGTTGGTGCGCCGAAGGTTATCTCGCTCGTCGGGCCCAAGTTTTTTAATAACTTCCTCCTAGAAAAAAATTGATCCTCCGTTTTTTACTATCCCTAAACGTAAAACTTTACGAAATTTTATTAAAAAGTACAAAAAAAAATAGATTTTTCGCCCAAAAATCGCCGTTTTTGACCAAAATTTCGACTTTTTGATAGTTTTTAGATAGTTTTTCTAGTTCAACATGGTTTTATTTTAGTAAAAACATTAGGAAAATACTTCCTATTCTACTCTACTAGGTATTTTTAGCTTAATACAACCCCCCCCCCGTTGATGCAAAAGAACCAAAGCTTCAAACCACAAACCAAAAGCTCGATGGGAAGTTGTGAAGCGGTAAACATCTAGCTTTATCGTCTGAAGATGTAGAAAATACGCTCCAATTAGCACCCTCAAGTGACAGAATCCAAAGATTGCCGCGTCACGCTCCCAAAAATCCGGTTCGTGGAATGATGGATCGCGGGCGCTTCGATAAGGTTCTTTGTATGGATTATAGATCGCTAGTAGACGGTTCAGCCGGGTTGGTGGGGGAGGAAACGGCTGGGATCAATTCATTCTCCTTTCCCGGTCACACGGGTCATTTTATCGCCGGGATCCAGTCCCGACACCTGAGCCAGTCGATCTCAACAACAACCAACACTCGCCTTCTGCAAACGATCACAGTTTCTGGTTTGTTAGCGGGGGAGTTTAATGTCAGGATTTTCATCACTATTTTTTGGGATCATATTTGGGGACCGAATTTGAACGCCGTCTATCCGAGAGGGGCCAAATTTTACCAGCAATTTTACCCATTAAACCTATCCTACTATATATAAAAAAATAGTGTTTGTGTGTGTGTGCCACTTTGCATCCACTTCCGTATCGTTGTTCCAGTCGTATCTCTATAGGGGAAGGAGTGAGGGGTGGGTACGATACGTCATTATGTGCGTAATGGTCTAGGGATGACTGCCCACATATCAGATTTATACAAATCAGCCATTTTCGATATTAAATTTAAGTTTTTGTAAAACCCTCTTCGCTAGAGGAAAAATTGGCATTGGCCGGAAGTGGGGAGACGCCTATGTAAAGGGCCACAAGCGAATCATTTTAATTTTTTTGGTCATCTGAATTCAGCGCAATTATGCAAAGCGTGGAACAGCATACGGTCCAAGACGGGGCCAGGGTTGAAAAGTCGCGAAGCGGCTTTTCAACCCTGGTATGCACATAAATTCTCACAGCAAAATCTTCGAAAACAAAAAAGTTACAGCCAAATCAAGGTTTGTTTTGACGATTTCACTAGTATTTCGACGGATTTCGACCTCGAAATATAAAGCACTCTTTTCGACCTGGCGGATTGTTTCAGATACAATTTACAATCTTGTTTTTCATTATTTTGTCGACTTTTACCAAGTATGGTTCTTCTTACGTTTTCACGCGTAACCGGGTCTTCTAACCTCACGTTATATGGTTTTTGCCCGTGTACACAACCCCTAAAAATCTGGGAGCGGGAATCAGCGGGTTAAGTTCGGGAAGGGTCGGCTCGGGGAGACCCTGGATGTGTTGCTCCACCAGCGTATGCCATACATATTTATTAAACAGAGCACAAGGACAGGCAGCAGGAAAATCATGGACACAATAGCGAGCAAGAGGACAAGGTAGTCGATTAAATAATATAGTCGATGAAGGGTAGTGAAGCGGGAGGGCGGAATGGACTTGGTGCTAGGAGTTAGGGAGACGCTACCCTCATGCTACTTCGTTTTCAACTTCCGCCCAGGCTTCCCTCAGCTCTCAAGCGCACGTTCCGGCATGGGCTACGTGCGCGCCTAAAGACGCTGAAGGTGCCACGCCGAAGACAAAGACGCAACCGTAGATAGGCGCCCACGTAGCACATGCTTAAACGTGAGCTTTGACTATGTTTTTTAGCTAAATTATTTGTTTACAAACATAAACTGGCGTTTTTCATCCTTTAGTTTTCACATTGGTTTTGAGCTTAGAAAGTCGGGTTAGCGTCTCGTTAGAAGTCCAAACCGCCGACCAGACTGCACTGTTCAGAATTTTTTTAGGTGCACAAAATACTGTACAAAGATTATAATCGATCGTCGCCCCGAGCAGCTCATTTCGTCGGAGGAGGCGCGGTCTGAAAAAAATGGTGAATGCTTTGGTTTAAACTTAGGCTTAAGCTTGGGATTATTTTTTTGCTTTTGTTATAACTTACTTAAATTATTCTCTTTTTTTGTTCTAGAATTAAAACCCTTAGCATATTTTTTTTTGATGCTCTGCAGGGTCGCGACGACGTAATCCCCCCAAAAAATAGTAAAATTTTGAAAATCTACGACATTAAACTTTCCCCCACCGATAAACTGTCCTTGACGTCGTCCGGGGCGTCTGGAGTCCGGGAAGCCGTCGCATCATTCTGTAATGATGGGCATTGTCGGAACCCAGGAAAAATGAAGAAGTAGAGTGTCAGGAAATCCCAAACCGACTCACATGAGAACGTGAGGAGGGCGCCGTGCGCCATTCGGGCTGAAAGGGGATAAAGTTAGCTGTTAGCGGGGACCAAATTTTTCCCTGTGATTCCCTACGGCCCTATAACGAAATATAAACCATTTTTATAGCACTGACATAGTTTTTAGATCAAACAATATAAAAATAATAAAAAATAAAAATTTTTAGCTTTTTGGCAAAAATGGAACAAAAAAATCAAGTAACATTCACCCTGTTGCAGATATTCTCCGAAAAGGCCAGATCCGTTGCCGCTTTGCGCTCAAATGCTTTCGCGAAGTCGGCGTGTGCTGGAAAATGGCCGCCAAATAATACATTGAACCAAATCAAGGTGCTCCGGCCTCGTGAAGGCGCGAAATATTTACGAAAATAAAACACACTGTTGTAGGTGTATTTGGTGGGGATGAAGTGGATCATCGACAATCGATTGTTACCGTCGTACGCCAAGATACCGCCAATCTCCTGAATGGTCGTATTTTTAAAGCGTTTTTAGCAGTTTTGGATTGCGAGAAGCTGCTAAATTTGTGCCAAAAATTTTGAAAATGCGAAAATCTGGACTTTTTGGTCATGTTCGACACAATTTTGACCAAAAAATCCTAAATTTTCCCCCCGCTAACAGTCCAGAACCGCCCTGCTACGACAGACCTATTCAATTCCATACGCACCAAAATACTGAACCAGTACTGAACCAAAACGATACCGACCGGGTTCGGCTCCTCATCCCGAATGATTTTATTCCTGAAGTGCATGCCCTCTCTGGTATTCGCGCGAAGCAGGGTCTGCTCATCCGCCGACAGGGGGTTATTTTCCGGCTTCCTCCACGTCGACGTGAAGATGGAGATCAACCAGTCGCCAAAAAACTGCACGCCGGTGTTCATCATCTGAATCGGCATTTGGCTGACGCGCTGGGATAGCCAAGTATTTTCATAATGTTTTCATAAAAAATCAATGAAACTATCTTTAGCTAGAAAACTATCTAAAACTTTCAAAAATTTCAAAAAAGCTAAATTTCTGTCAAAAACGCCCGGTTTTCGTCGAAAAATCGATATTGTTTGTATTTAAAAAAAAATTGTAAAGTTGTCCGTTTCGGAAACAAGGAAAGGAAAAACAGGAAAGTAAAAAAATTAGAAACACTTCGGCTATTTATATATTTGAAAAATTGGTCCCTAAGAAAGAATTTCCTCTCCCCACCCTTTTTTTTCTAGTCCGTGCCTCGCACTGTCAGAATACCAACTTGATGGGCCCGGACGATGAATTTAATGCCGAGCTCACGGCGGATTTCTTCGATCGCCTCCTCGCCGTAGAAATAGCCAGTCTCACGCACGCGGTTCCAAGCATACCTGACAAGGAGATTGTCTCAGCTCGGAATCGAATTTCAATTTGCAAATTTGCATACTTATAGAGATCTCGACGAGACGAATCGATTGCCGTAACTTTCAGCTGCCCATACCGTAATTCAGCCGAGTTATAAGCATTTAAAGCTTTTGCATGATTTTCGTGCGCTATCCGGCCTGTCTCCTTAGGCCTTCCCCGCCTGCCCACGGGAGCCCCCGGGCACAACGCGCGAACTCCGGGATTCCTATGGCGCGCCCCAATGACAGTACCCCCGCCCCCCGGGCCCATCCCCTTTTCCCTCGCGTAATGGCCCGTTTAGTTGGTAAAACATAGTAAGAGGTTGTTTTACAAAGAAAACAATAGAAAAGTGAAGTGGAATACATTTACAGGATAGTTTTTGTCATGTATACTCTCCAGTAGATGAAGATGTGCTGAAAGCTAAGCCGTGGCTGTGGCGTCGCTATTCCCAGTTAGTTCTGCCCCCAAAAATGCAGATATTCTTCTAAAAAGTACTCTCTGGCACGGTAAATGTCTATTTACGAAATATTATAGTAAAACTTACTTTAATTTTGAATAACTACTAATAAATAATGATTAAATAGAAATTTACCGCCAAACCTGTGTACCAGGTGTACCGGGTGCTATATACTAATTGCAAAAATGTATTCCACTTCACTTTTCTATTGTTTTCTTTGTAAAACGACTTCTTTTTATGTTTTACCAACTAAACGGGCCATTACGCGAGGGAAAAGGGGATGGGCCCGGGGGGCGGGGGTACTGTCATTGGGGCGCGCCATAGGAATCCCGGAGTTCGCGCGTTGTGCCCGGGGGCTCCCGTCGCCTGCCCACCGCGGTGGTCTGTTGGCCTAGTGGTGTAGTAGGCAGCGTGCGGGGAATCTAGCTAGGGTTCGAACCCTCTCACGATTTTTATTTTTTTGCTTTTTCAGCCGAAGGTACCTATTTGCTTACTGAAGGCCTTGAATAAAAGGCTCATGGCTGAAAGTTACACCAATCGATTCGTGTCGTCGAGCTCTATAAGTGTCCCAATTTTCAAATCGAAATTCGATGTCGAGCTGAGAACATCTCCTCGTGAAAGTGTGCCGTTTGACACGTTGCGATGCGCTGCGGCCCACGTACTTTTTGGCCTGATGATTGGGGTCGCTCCAGAGAACGGCGATGCGCAGATCATCGTGCATGTCGTCGCTCGGCTGGAATCCTGCATCGACCGTCTCGCGTGTCAATTCTGGGCCTGAAACAATTAACCCCTCGTGGAAGCGTCACCATTTTCGAAAACTTGTCTTTGGTAATATTGTTCTTATATCTAAAAACGAAGTAAAATTCTATAAAAATGATTTATGTTTTGTTATAGGCCCAGCCACCCCAGTAATGCGAACGAACCCAAAAAGATACATACCGATGCCCCCGTGCATGGCCAGTATGCGGTTGTCGATCAGGGCCAAAATGGGCAGGCTGGCGAACATGGCTCGAATCTGCTGGCAGCACGACTCGGTGTATTCCTCATCAATCAGTTCCAGACAAAAATCATAGGCGTAGTGGACATGTGGCAGTTCGTGATTGCCGGACACGTAGAAGATCTGAAATCGTACAACACTGGATGCACCCATCAAAATATACCCACCCTATCGGGATAGAGCACCAAACCGGCGACTATCAGCACGACAGACATCAACTGGCGTTTGCCACGATCGACGATATTGCCAAGGAACACGATACTGGAAGACGGACGCTTACTGTATTCTATGGGAACGCGCGCTCACTTTTGGCCTGGCGACGCCTTTTCCGAGTAGGCGGCGAATATACGAGCGAGGGTGTTGAACTAAAAGGGTAGTAAATGTCATTTTTATGCTCGAAAGAGCAAATTAATTAGTATTATGCAAGCCGCGGCTAAGCCAGCCCAACGGAGGCTTGGTTTTTCAACCTAATTTTTTAATCTTACACCATTTTTCAACTGAAACGCGAGGGATTTAGAAACAGACAAAAAAATGTCGGTCTGAGCTTGAAAACTTGTTTCCTGCTGAAAAAAGTTTGTTGAACCCTATACGGTGGTGATGTGCAAACTATCGTATACTCACATCTCCATGGATGTCTCCAATGATCCAAGTCGGCCCGGAGACGCGAGCAACGCCATTCGTCTTGCCAACGATGATGCGGGCATGGTGGAACAAGGCTTTCAATTCCTCGTGGTGAAATGTTCTGCGCGGCTGGAACATGTAAATACCATATATACTTTAAAATTTTGATCAAAAACCGGCTTTTTCGCCGAAAAATCGTTTTTAACCAAAATTCGTAAAGTTTTTACGTTTATGAAGCGTAAAAAAACATTTAGAAACACCAGATGGTTCCAGTCGCTTCGCGACTGTAACCATCTGGCCTTCGGGTTACCCTTGATGTAATACACCTAACTATCCACCTACTTCTACTAACTACCTAAATACCTTCCCGAAGGCTTTAGATACGCCCCCTAGCTGAAATCCCTTTCAAAAACTACCTAAATACCTTCCCGATGGCTTAAGATACCCCCCATGGCTGAAATCCCCTTCAAAAACTACCTAAATGCCTTCCCGATGGCTTAAGATACCTCCCCTAGCTGAAATCCCTTTCAAAAACTACCTAAATACCTTCCCGATGGCTTAAGATACCCCCCATGGCTGAAATCCCCTTCAAAAACTACCTAAATACCTTCCCGATGGCTTAAGATACCTCCCATGGCTGAAATCCTTCAAAAACTACCTAAATACCTTCCCGATGGCTTAAGATACCCCCATGGCTGAAATCCTTCAAAAACTACCTAAATACCTTCCCTGATGGCTTAAGATACCCCCCATGGCTGAAATCCTTCAAAAACTACCTAAATACCTTCCCGATGGCTTAAGATACCTCCCATGGCTGAAATCCCCTTCAAAATCAACCTAAATACCTTCCCGATGGCTTAAGATACCTCCCATGGCTGAAATCCCCTTCAAAAACTACCTAAATACCTTCCCGATGGCTTAAGATACCTCCCCATGGCTGAAATCCCTTCAAAATCAACCTAAATACCTTCCCGATGGCTTAAGATACCTCCCATGGCTGAAATCCCCTTCAAAATCAACCTAAATACCTCCCTGATGGCTACAGATACCTCCCCTAGCCGAAATCCCCTTAAAAAACAAAAATAACGACCGACCGGATGGAATGAGAGAAAAAAAGAAATGAAATCCTCCGTGAAAATTTTCATCCACGAAACGCGCGCGATCTGGCTCACTATGCGAAAATCATGCCAACCTCCGTCCCCCACCCCTTTTACTAAGGAAAAAACTTTCAAAGTTAATTTTAACCAGGGTTGAAAAGCCGCTTCGCGACTTTTCAACCCTGGCCCTGTCCAACCCATAATATTCTTCACTCTGCATACGTTTCTCGAATTCCCTGCATTGAAAAAATGAGAAAGGCCCCTCTCTCGCATTATATATAGGCTACCGTCACTTCCGGAGTATGCTAATTTTTCCTAACAAAGAGATCGGCCGATTTTTCAACAAAAAATTAATTTTAATGCCGAAAATAGCAGAATTTGCATGATTTGATATGCGTGCAGTCATCCCAGAACCATTACGCACCTAATGACGTATCATACGTCGCTTAATACCCTTCCCTTCTTGAGATATCTTCCGGACACCCTGACGGAAGTTGCATGCAAAGTGGCACACACACACACACAAACACACAGACACTATTTTTTTATATATTAATTTTAATAATTTAAACTAAAACTTTTTCATAATTTTTTTATCAGTTTGGGGGTTTCTGACGGCGCTCTATCCGAATCCGAAGAGAGCTAAGCTCTAGCTCTTTTCCCCTTCGAGTTGAATTCGGCTTCGGACGGACGGACGGACGGACGGACAGACGCGTCAAGAAAATTATTATAGTTGATTGCCACTATTCATATCTCTAAAATTAGATCCTAAAAAAAGTTGTGAACCCCTACATTCCCATTCGTTTCCGAGACCATGTAGCCGTGCGCGAGTTCGTGGAAGAGCTTCCTTGCGATGGCAACCGGATCGTGCAGCATTTCGGTGATGATGTACAGCTCAAGGTCGCCGCCTTTAGGCTGAACGCGAATAGTATAAGTCCCATGTTGGTTTTCAGATAAGACGACCCGGATATCGAATGATTTCACGCACCAGCTCCGGTAGCTCCTTGACCTGCAACGCGATGTGTCCCTTTTCCGTGAAGGCGAGCTGGGTGGGATCTCCTCGAGGCGGTGGAGTGCCGGTGATCTAAAATCAGCCCTTGTTCGTTAGCGGGGGTTACGTACGGCCCTCTAAAGAAATATAAACAATTTTTCTAGCATTTTTCATAGTTTCTAGATAAAAAGTTTATAAAAAAGTTCGAAAATTTTTGGCTTTTTTGTCAAAAATGTATGAAAAATGACGAAAAATGTCAAGAACTTCTATATACAGTCAAAAATAATGGCAATTCATTCGGACGCTCTCAGCACTCACTTACCACTTTATCAAACTTCTCCATCCAGTTATCGGGCAGGGTTTGCGTCTCAAGGGTAATGTTCTCAGTGGGGTAGGCCTTTGGTAATGGCAGAGCCAATGGCACGCCTAGCGACGGCTCTTCGTCGGGGCATTTCCTGAAAAGATTCTGGTTCGTTAGCGGGGGGGGGGGCAGAGTTTACTGTCGCAGATTTTTGAAAGTTAAAACAAAAGCCAAATAAACCCTGAAAATGGGGTTCGTGAGCTATTTTTCGGGATTTCGATTTTTTTCGACATTCCGCTAACGCTATGAACAGCGCATCAAAAATAAACCAAGAGTTTCATAAACAGCGCAAAATAATGTGATTTAAGATAAGGAAGCAATTGATCAAAAATGTGCTCCCCCCCCGCTAACAAACGAGAACCCCTGAAAAGGTCAAGGCGCTTCAACAGGGCCCCGTTACGGAAAAAGGCCGGAAGGCTTCAGCTTACACCCCCCTCACTCGCCTGCTCTTATTGAATCTGCGGAGGTAGAACCACAAAATCGCTGTAATGCCGCCGGCGATGACGATCGTCAATAACACCAGCACTGCTAGGTCTGAACAAAAAAAAAATACGTAATTTAAAGAATACTTACAATATATCAAATCTTCCTCAGTCGCTGCTTCCCCGGGTTTGTCCAAAATCGTGCTCTTGTTCCGGTTCCAACAGATTCGCTGAATCGACAATCCGGTGTGAATCTGTTAATCATATAAGGCTATTTTCTACCGTGTTTTGTTGTTTTTTATTGCTATGAAACTCTAGGAAGCATTTCAAACACTTTGAATATCGAAAAAATAGTCTCCTTTTTGGTCGTTTTTGAGATTTTTTGCCCAAAAATGAAGAATCCTATTCTATGTGCTTGTCAAAATACTTGTCAAAAAGTGGAATCTGCTATAAAAATTGCATATTCTTGATTGTAAAACCATAGCGGATTACTGCAGAAACCCCCACGCGAAACCCCACCGAATCTTTGTCATCAACGCAGAGCGGTGGCTCGATCACTAAACCCTCCTCGCCCAGCATCTGCACGAAGATGTTCGTCCGACAGTTTAGCATCAGGTCCCTTTCTACTCGTGCTCGATCCGTTGACTAAAAAGCAGCCGTTCCAAATTTTTCAGCCGATCTGCGATCCGAATGACGCAACAAACTTGCCAATAACCGAGCCGCATTGATGCACTTCGGATACCGAATCGTTGATGTGTTCGGATTGTTCTCTGCTTCACGAGGTGTCCGGTTGGCTTCCGGATCGTGGATGCCCTTCCGGAGTCTCGACTAAATACAATTACAGCCGCAGAAAACATTGAAATAAACCTCCATGTCACGCTGAGAGGGCCGCCTCCTTGATGGTCTGGGTGTATTCAAGATGACACCAGCATCACATTTCCGCTTCGTCCATGAATTCAGCGGATGGTCCGGACTGAAATATATAAGAGTCTCAAAAGAGCCTCTATCGGTCCACAGACGTGTCCGATTTTTACGATATGGGTATCAATCGAAATGTCTCGACGAGCTGAGAAGATCTGTGCTTTCGGATTTTCGAGATTCGAGAATTTTACTTGCGTTTATCAAAATTTGTGCTTGCGCCGAATCCCAGATTGTTCCAAGTAATGTTTTTTCAAAAAACCGATTTCTGGGTTTTTGGGTTTCTCTGGCTCGCCGCCCGACGGCGGTTTTCGAAAGCCATTCGGAAAACGCAGCTTGGATGGCGCTTCAGCCGCTTAAAGTGAGTTATTTTCTGTAAGAAATGCCGAAACTCGAGCAGCAAATGCCGAAGTAAAAAATCTGGGGAAAATATCTGGCCATCGCTTTCCTAAAACATTCGATAGAGACTTAAATCGCAAAAATCAGACACTCCTCCTCCGCCCAGAGACGGTATCTTTTGTGGCACCCTGGCATGATAAAAACCAATCTACCATTGCACGTCGTGCCGAAAAGGATAGTCTTGCACTGGCATTAATGATGTCCAGGAAGACACAGTCACTGTAGTTCGTTCGACCATATTCGTAGTGGCATGGCAAATCACAGTCCGGAGCTGCTTGTACCATTCCTTTTTGAAGGGAGGAATTGGACTAAACGAGGTCGTGCATAATATAGCGGGGACATACGCCGTTCTGTCATCTGGTCCGCATAGTGGCAGTGGTTGAAGGGGGCTGTCCTTGGAAGGTCGACCGCCTTTTTCACAGTACTTAAAGAGAGAAAAGCTGTGAGGCTTGATAAACATTGTTACCTTGAAGTCCGAGAAGATCCGGACACGTCGTATGGATGGTTTTGGAGAGGAGGTGGATCGTCTTTCAGGAAACCAGCGGCCAGTTGAGACTCGGTACGCATGTCAATTTCTGACGATCGGTATCGCCGCTTTTGTCAGCATCATGTACATCAACAACCAGCCTAAATAGGTTTTTGAAGCACTTTAGCATATACTACTTTGGGATGGTAAAGCCAGCGTCGCGTTGCGCCAGAGTACTCGGTGGTAAGTCTACCAGCGGCAGGGTTGAAGACTTCAGTGCTCCTAAATGGAGGATTCCTGGGGTTAGTTGGATTTTTACAGCTTTTTGCCGTCACACTCTCCAAACGCCACCATCTCTCGCGTGCAGATGTTGGACGGGAAGAAGACTTTTCTGAAAATGAAAATATAGAGTAGTACTACCTAGGCGGGACATGGATTGCTTGAAAATTGGGTTGGAACCTGGTTGACCCGCCTTCAGCCTAAG